TGACCCCGTTGAACTTTTGCTACTACAGTACAACGCCTTCTACAAAAAAATTCCCTTGTTATTTTGCACAGAACCATTATGCATTAGCAGCATATGTGAGCATTAAGCGGGATTCACAGAAGCTTTTTTGCGATGCGACACGCGATGCGACGCGATCTGCGACGGACGCGTGCGATGCGAACTCGCGAAATACCATTCACAGAAGAAGTCAGCGATGCGACAAATTTTTGCAATGTCTTGCTGATTTGAGTACGTCGCCATGATATTTGCGCGGTTTGGTACAACCTGTACAAATTATAGGCAACTCTTGCACCTTTGTACAACTTTGCTGTAGAAAAGGTCAAAATCGTACGCCAAATCGCTTGTCGCATCGCATCGCATCGCAAAAGTTGAGCCAAGCTCAACTTCTGCGATGGCCAGCGATGGCCCAGTTGCGGCAGTTGCGTGGGGTGCGACATGGCTGCGATTTGGGGTTTTCCCGGTTTCGCGCCTGTCGCATCGCGTGTCGCATCGCAAAAAAGCTTCTGTGAATCCCGCTTAATGCGGCATAATATGATAACTTTTAGCATAAATATAGCATAATTCTGCAATTTTTTCAGCAATGCGAAAAGCATAATTTCACGAAAATATTAGCATAATCCGTCAAGGCCTAGCTGTAACTGAACCAGTCGCACTGGTTTTGATGGAAGCATAAATTTAAAATTCCACACAATTCCACACAATCAGATTGTGGAGGTTAAATCCACACCCCATATTGGGGTCTCTTTATTGACAGTTTCTGCTGTGTCAATCAATCAAATTGTCGGCCAGTATCCATCATAAAGGATAGAGGGGAAACCAAAGAGATGAACCCGTAACAAACATGAAAACACTAGGTGGAATGAACCTGCAACGCAATAAAGTATACCGTCCTTGAGGCGCAGGCACTCGAAATAGTAACACTCACACTGACGTTCACACCTTTGGACCTTTGGATGGCCATTGCTCCGTGCATTGATAGCATCAGGAGTTGCAGTATTTCCTGAGATAGATATGATAGATAGATAGATGGAGCGAGAGAGAGAGGGGGAGAGCTCTCTCTCTCTCTCTCTCTCTCTCTCTCTCTCTCTCTCTCTCTCTCTCTCTCTCTCTCTCTCTCTCTCTCTCTCTCTCTCTCTCTCTCTCTCTCTCTCCCTCTCTCTCTCTCTCTTTCTCTCCACACTATACTTCCGCTATTTTCTTTTTTTCAATCTCTTTTGTTTCTCTTCTTCTCCTTTTCTGATGCGTGAAGTAGGCGCGGATGCCGAGACCATTGGTCGGCGGAGTCTGCAGCACCCCATCACCACCGCTGCGTTGCATTTCCAGCCCCATTCAGTCAAAGTTTTGTTAGTCTGTTGTTTTGTCATTTCCTCCTTCTTTCTTGTTTTACGAATTGGGTGCGTGGTTTCAAGTAAACAAAAAAACAAAACAAAATTAATGACTGGAGTATGGTGCTACGAGGACTGCACCACGATGGGCTGTAAAGGGTACCTTGAAGCCTAGAGTGAACGCCTAGGCATTCATGAAGCATTGCTCTTCCAAATCCCGGCACCATGGGAATGTAATGCCAATTCTAAGGACAGACTTTTAACCAGAGCTTTTACACTGCGTGAAATAATTATAGACATTGTGTGGAGCAGCTTCCACACTTTACTGCAGCAAGGTATGCAGTAGACATGGAATGTCCACATCAAAAACTGTAAATCGTACAGTGCTGTACATGATCTAGATTTTTCATCCTGGTGGCAGACGATTTCCACATGTACTAGACAAATTTCATTCAAGTCAATTGAGTGCAGAGTGGAATGGTGTTTTCCGAGGAAACTGGAGAATGCAATTCATTCAATATTCTCAATCAACGTTCCCCATCTCCACCGGAATGGGAAGTGTGCGCCCTGTCAGGGGATCTGTACCGAAGCATTCACTACAAGGTTCTTTTGCATCAGCAAGCTGCACACGTACTGTCAGTGTCTGGGTTGACTGAGAAAATAATTATTCTAATGCTTGAATGTGCTGTGAATGCACCAAGGACTTACAGCCGGTTGATCTGTTTAGCTCCGTTCTTCTCCTCCACCACCATAAAGGCGACCCCAGGCATAGCGAGAACAAAAAGAACTGGATCGAAGAGTGACGATCCCTGATCGTGATGAGTTGCTGTTCACATCTGTAAAACCAAGTACACCGAGTCGACGTCAGGAAAAGGTTCTCTGCACCAGGTTCACGATCTTCGGCTGTTGTAGATCTACAGGTTTCTGCACGAGTACGAGGGCAGTACCGTGGAATCCAGCCCGCGCCGCAAGGGCTGGATGAACAGCGGCACTGAGCCTGTACTGTAGTCTAGATCTACTATGTCACGTGATGTGTACTGATGAATGATAATATTTAATAATAATAATGATGAGCGACGTTACGTGTTTCTCGTGTGCGCCCAAGCCAAAGGCACAGAGCATGCATGCACGTGCACACCATACAACCATCGACT